TAAAAATAGAAATTCTCTAACTTTTGGGACAATATCGTCTGATAAAGAGTACATTTATATACATGTTTAAGCCAGAATGATTTGACATCTAAATAAAACTTCCCTACGACATTAAGTTTGGGGAAAAATCGCTAGATGCCCTCGAGCAATTCCATCCATGTTTACTTCTGTATAAATGCAGTTCACAGAAGGTCCCATACGTATATATTTGGAAATGTGAACGGCAACGCAAACAAAAAAACATTGGATTCAGATCTGGCCTGCAGTGTGAACGCAGCCATAATAATCCTGAAACATCAACATGAGGGCTATATTTTGTCCACTTACATTGATCCATGGATGATTCATAAACTCTGTGATGGTCATCCTTTGGGTCGGTTCAGTCTTCAGGAGGGTCCGGATAAGCTGTTTAGCTGTAGACAGAAAACTTGCTTATATTAATGTTTGCAGTGGCGCATTTTCGGCTCTTTCATGCAGCAATAGCCAAGGTGTATTAAAAAGGTCATAGCTGGAACATTTTCATCAAAATAATTCACTTTTCAAAATCAATACATCCAGTTTCAGAAATGATAACGGGTCAGAAAATAAATAAATATTTACTGGCGCTTATGATCCTAATGTAGAAATTATAGAACCAAAAGAAATAGTAGGTTGTAGTTGAACCGGTCTGGTTCTGGTTAGCATTAGCGGATCTGGCAACTAACAGAAAGGAAAGAGACGGGCGAGCTCATGTGCGTTGCGCTCATTGGTCAGAGCGTTGGCCAATAGGCACAGACATGGTTTGAAAGACAACATGTTGTTCTCATCAACAATCTTCCGATGTCTCATTCATCGGGGCCAGACTAAGGCTACGTTCACACTACAGGCCTTGATGCTCAGTTCCGATTTTTTTGCGAAATCCGATTTTTTTACGTTGCCGTTCATATTTCCAAATATATGCGACTTGTATGTGATCTCCTGTGTGAACTGCAGTCATACAACGCAAGTGTCCCGCATGCGGAGCAGAGGATGTAAAGACGTCACAGGCCAGGGTGCTCTTTTTTTCCGGAAGTAAACATGGATGGTAGTACCATCTAGCGATCTTTTCCAACCATAAAAACACAATCTCTTCAATATGGTCAAACATAAATACTGCTCTCCGCATCATCATCCGCCATGGTTGTTGTTTGTCTTGCCGCTTCTGCGTAGCAAGACGCATAATATTGACCTTTGTCGGGTATTAATGACGTTCAGGTTGGATGAATGCGATCTGGCCGTTCACACACAGGTCGCATTTGAAAAGATCAGATTCATATCGGATTCAGGACCAAATAGCCAAGTGGCCTGGGTCGGATTGGGAACAAATCGGATCTGTGTTGTTCAGACTGCCATGAAAAGATCAGATCCAGGTCGCATATGGGCAAAAAAAATCGGATTTGGGTCACTTCAGGCTGCGGTGTAAACGTAGCTTAAATTACATATTTAATCTCACATTTAGTCTGGTTTATCAGGCTAGCCAACCAGTGTAATGAGGCTTAAATCAGGGTATTGTGCTCATATTTACAAGTGCCAGATAAAAGATGTGCTGCAGCATTTTGCACTCTCTGAAGTTGAGCAATGTTAGAGGCACTAACCCCCAAATAAAGTGCATTACAGTAATCCAGCCAGGTAGTGATAAAGGCACGACTTACGGTCTCTAAAAGATAAATACAGTTGTTCTGCAAAAAGATGCTACAGCTAATTTATACACAATATTGGTTATTTTCAGTTCTAAAATATTCATAGAACTGCTTTACATAGACTGCCCTTCCTCTAACACAGCCTGCATCTATCCGCTCCGGTTGGTAGGCCTGGCAAACCGTCCAAGTTGATTTGATATAATTTTATCTAAGGAGAAATTCTGAATTAGTAAAAACAGGATTATTACTACATAAGGCAAGTTAAATTTAAGGCTTTTTTTGTCCCTTGAAATAAAACTTTAAGACCAACTTCACAATTAATCTGGTTGTGACAAATTTAAACTGACGCTTATTTTAACGCTCTGGCCCAGTAGAAATGTTTACAATTTTGAAAAACTTTCTATATAGGAAGAAAGCTAAAAACACACTAATAACAGATGTATTTTTAAAAACCGATGAATGAAATTCACAAACTTTGTTTTGAACCCTACTCAAAGTCCATAATAGCTCTGCTTTCATTGTAGGCTTATTAACCAAACATTATCCGGACATTTGATGCTACTGGTGCATTTTTTGACGTCGGAGATGCTGTAGAGGCCTTACAGAGACAAGCGTGGAACAGAACTGAGAAATAGCTGCTGCTTTTCAGTAACTTCATTTTGGCGCTTTGTTTTTCCACTCTTCACGTCTTACTCCACAGGTTTGATTCCCATCGTGTCGAGCTTGAATGAGTTCTTGCTCAAAATACGCCATTCCTCATATGCATTACCAGGTACTGTTGGGCTGGATAGCCCATTTTAATTGAATTTACACTTCCTCATGGCGCATCACTCCAAGGTCTGTTTGCAACATTGTTTTTATTGGTTCTGCTGTCAGGATGGAACTAATAATGGTTACAGCTGAGCCATTTGGTAAATGTCTAAAAATTATCATGATTTATTAAAAATTTTTATATGAATTACAAAAAAAAAATCCTATTTATGACTTGGTTACAATTTTAAGACCTATGAAAGACTGATTTAAGACATTTTAATACCAATTAAGGTCTTATTTTTATATCGAGGAAGTCAATGTTTTTTTTTTTTTACTTTAAGGATCTACAGGAATCCTGAAAAATCTGCAGCAGGACAAAAATTTACAACAACAAAAAAGCATCGACGGTAAAAACCTGGTTGCTGTTAATGCGCTTTTAGAGAGATGGTGCATTAATGGAATCAGAGCTATCTGCATGCGGTTTAGGAAGTAGGCTTTTTGCAGCGTTCTAGAGAGAAACCACAGGAGGATGAAATATATTATGTGGAACGCTGCGGGTGAAAAACAACACTTTGAAAAGGCTTCTTCAGTGGATTCTTCATTGTGAATTGAAGTGAGTTCAAGTGAATATGTTCCACTGCTGCATCTGCTGTTTGGAGAACCCCGCCTCCCCCCCCCAAAAAAAAACTAGAAAGCTGTACCTCACCTGATGACTTCAGTTTTCTTACCAAAACTAGCAAATTACTCATAAAATGAGAGCTAACTTTCAGCTCAGCAGCAGCAAAAATCGAGGCGAAACGCCTCGATCAGTTTCAATTTCTTGATCAGGCTTGAAATAGTTCTGCTGTCGTGTTTTATCTGAAGGTTTCACCTACCAGCGGGACTTTATGAAATAATTACGAAGGCATGAAATTCTACTTATGATAAAAAAATGTCACCTTCAGAAATTTTCACTGGAGCTTTAGGTGCATCATTTAAAACGATACAACTATATTGATTCGCCTTTGGTACATGAATAGAAACTTGTGGCATAAAGAACCTTATTTTAGCCAATTTCTATACAGGACCCTCTCCATTTTTACCTTCTTCAGACACCTCTGACCATTCAGGGTTGGGAAATTCATACTGCCCCATCCTTATCCTCTTCTTCATCCCAGGAGATATGGCTAGTCCATGGTTGGAATAGAAAGGAGGATACCCACACAACCTGTTGGATTAAAAAACAAAAACAAGTAAGATTAGCGAAACAGTCAGAATTATTTAAGCTGAAGAGATAAAAAGGAAAAGAATGAGAGACTTACAGAATATACATAATGACGCCCAAAGACCACATGTCGCATGACTTGTCATATTTCTCCGGGCCAAGAACCTCTGGAGCTACAAGCAGAATAAAGTTAAAACAAAGAAAAATCAATCAATATTGTATAAATGTGTCCATTCTTTTAGTAGCACGCATTAGAGAACGACTGATATGGGTTTTGTTTTTTTGGAACAATGCCAAAACCCATTATTTTGAAATCAATCTAGATGACTGCCGATATTTGCTGCAGATATTTTTGGGGCCGTTCTTATGCTACGTTCAGAACGCATTCGCTGGAAGCAGCCAAAAAGCTTCTGCCTCAAGAGCATCTTTGACACTTCTTAAGCGTGCGTTAATCAACGTTATTTTAAGCCTAAATAACATTGGTTGTGGAATGATGACTGACAGTTTGCTGCATGTCCCTCCCCCTTTCAGGTAGCCCTTTTCTTGTCACCCCTACTGTAGGAAAAACGAGCCACTAAT